GTCGGGGCTATAAAGTGTTTTTATATATATATATATATATATATATATATATATATATATATATATATATATGTATATGTGTGTGTGTGTGTGTGTGTGTGTGTGTGTGTGTGTGTGTATATATATATATAGAGAGAGAGAGAGTCAGAATGTCTTTTTTTAATTCTTATATTATTACAGTTCCAATTTTTCCCCCTTCGCTCTCCTCTGTCCAGCCTGCCCCATTTTACCACAGTCAGTTCCTGTATAGTCCGAATCTCTTTAAGTTCCAATTCCAGAGTTACTTTCTTGGTTAAAATCATACCTATTTATATTATGTTCTAAAAAAGTATTTGTGGGCTGGTCTAGTACCTAATATATTTTAAAAACATATTTCTTCTGCCCTGGCTGGTGTAGCTCAATGGATTGAGTGAGGGCCAGTGAGCCAGACAGCCACAGTTTGATTCCCAGTCAGGGCACATGCCTCCGTTGCAGACCAGTTCCCGGTGGGGGACGCATGGGAGGCAACCACACACTGATGTTTCTCTCCCTCTCTCCTTCCCTTCCCCTCTAAAGATAAATAAATAAAATCTTTTTAAAAACACATTTCTATGAGAAAATACACTCTGAACTCATAAATGAGGGGATATCATTATCATTCTATATTATTTTATTGACATGATGTTTAGGCAATTATAAATTTGGTATCTTGCACTTTACAAATCTAGATCTATAGCTGTAAAAGGAATGATTAGTTGAGAAATCTGATGTTATTTGCATGATTTACCTCTTTTCTTCCATTTACTCTTATTTTTCCAACATGAGTTACTTGTAGTTCTGAAATTTTAAATTTGCCATTTCTGTCTTTCTTATAAAATGTTATTATCAAAAAATTTTAAACATGTACAAAAGTTAAAGAGAATAGTATAATGGACTGCCCCAATATATCTAACATTTAGATTGAAAAATTACCAAGATTTTCTGTTGCTTCACTCATGCTTTTTTTAAAATGCATTTATTTTCCTTTTTTGGTTCAAATTTAAAAAATTTGACCCTGGCTGATGTGGCTCAGTGGACTGAGTGGTTGGTGGCTTGCAAACCAAAGGGTCACCAGTTTAATTCCAAGCCTCAGTTGTGGGTCAGGCCTCCAGTGTGGTGGGAGGGTTGCTGGGCAACCACACATTGATGTTTCGATACCTCCCTTCCCCTCTCTCTAACGGTAAATTAAAAAAATTCTTTAAAAAGAATTTGTCCCCTTTGATCCCAGGAGTACAGTATTAAATATATTATAATCCTTAGTTAATTGCATTTATCACTATTCATTGCATAGTCCTTCTTAATTTAGTCATTCAGGCTTAAAATCATCTTTATAATGAAATAAACATCTAGGGACAAAAAGCAAAGTCCTGCTTTAAAACTAACCTGCATCTAACCATTTCCCCAGTTCCATCCCCTGCCCCTGCCACCTGAAGTGCTTGTTACTCTGAATCCCGCATTCATTAATATCTTCTTTCCTTCTTACAGGGCAAACCCAATAGGATTAAGACTGTTGATAACTGATTGTCAAAGTGATAAATAACTCACATACTCTTACCTCATTGAGTTGATCTACATGATTTGCTAAAAACTATATTTCTGTTTTTGTTATTTTAAGTTTTACAGCAAGTGTATTGTGTCAAGTATATTTTACTAAGGGTGTTGTGTTAAGTAACTTTTTGGAACTTAATTTTTTCACTTTTTTACTATATTACTAATATATGTTGCTGGAGTTCTTTCATGTTAACTGCATTATAATAATTCTCTGTGTAACTATACCAAAGTTTGTTTATTCCCTTTCCTGTTGATGTGAATTTGAGTTGTCTTCTACTGCAGTATTTTAAAGCAAAATCTGAACATTATGTTACATCAGTCGTATATACATTTCTAAAGAATATGTCTTACATAATTACAGTGCCATTGTCATTTTAATAAAATTGATGACAGTTTCTTAATATCCAGTCAGTTTAAATTTCCTCACTTTAAAATGTTCTGTTTTGTTTCACATGTGCTGTGTTTGAAATAACTTTGAAAAAGTCCTTGTTTAACATAACATTTGGTTTTATGTCTCCTGGGTCTCTTAATCTAAAGCACTTTCCCCTTCCCAACTTTGTTCTTTCACATGCTGTTGACTTGTTGAATCATAATGTGCCGTCCTATGAAATGCCCCACATCCAGGATTTGTCTGTGTCCTTCTTCTTGGTGTTAATTTGTTCTGAAGCCTTAATTAAATTCATTTGCAACTACTTTTGGCTAGAATACTTCGTAATTGTGTTCTGAGTATTTCATATTTTATCACATCAAAGGCTCATGATGTCTGTCCTACCTTTACAAATGCTAAGATTGATCAGTTCAGGTGGTAACATGAAGTTCCCTTTTAAACTCTCAGTCATTGATATCCTTCCAGAATGAGTTATCTGTTTGGAGGTTATAATTTAGTGATTTCTAATTATATCATCTTTTCTCTGTGTTTTTTTTTTTAAACTAGAATTAGTCTGTGGAGAATTTTCCTTCATTAACTGAAGTTATTTGTATTTGAATACCTTGAAATTTAGTTAGAGCAGGAATAAATGCTTGATTTTTTTCTCTTCAGTTCTAATTTTCAGAGTTAGGAGCTGGTGTCCATTTACCTTCAGTGGCGATTCATGAGTTACAGACTTTTGGGGGAGGGGTGTGACTTTCTCATTTTAAGTATCCTTTTGAACTCATGGGTCTTCATATATTCAGTTTGTTTCAGTTGTAGTTATCATTCATTTTGCTTATGTTAACCAATGGAGCCCCTTCATACTGGCTTTTGAGGTTTTTTTGCCATGGCATCAGTAGTCTTAGATAGTTTCCTGGCTTTTGGCAGAACAAGATGTTTGAGGCTTATCTTACATATTTTCTACCTGGACCTGGAATGAGTCATTCCTCCAAGAAGCCCTGATTTCTTTTAGTGGAGAATGATATTTTAAGACTGTAGTCTGGGCCTCAGAGTACTTATTGCTCTTGGGCTCTCACTGCCTCTAGGTTTTGTTGGTGGGTAGTATTAGAAAATACCTATTTTTAAAAGAAAAAGATCATCGATTCATATTGACATTTTTAATTCAGATTGAGGATTGCATACTAGGTTTCTTTGTTTTTTTTTACCTGTATCTCTTTTCCTTTACCCTGAAAGCCTTAGTTCCTAACAACAGTAACTTGATTATATTTGTTTTATCCTGATACAGATGTTTGTTAGTAACATTATCATCTCGATGTGCATTAAAGTAGTAATACGAAATGATTTTATAGATCATAGTAATATCATAATACAGATATTATTGCTAGTGATAAGACTGTTTAGTAGCAGTTAGGATTTTTGTAGTTCTTTATTTATATTTATATTTCCCCTAAGGATGTATAGTCAAAATACTGTATTCCAGAGTCACTTGAAATAATTGTAGTTATACCAACAACTTGATATACAGTTAGGCTTTATTTGTTTCAGTTTTTTCTAATTTTAATTTTTAAAAAATGTAAAACATTTACATGGTTCCAAAATCAAACTATGTAACTGTATGTATGCAGAGAACTTTCACCCCTCTTAAGGTATAAAGGTCCTTCTCTTCTCTAATGGGTGGCAATCTCGTTATTCTTCCAGTGTGTTTTTTTTTTCTTTCCAAATAAAAGCAAGATATATGTCCACAAATTCATATTTCTTTCCCCTTCTTACACAAAAATTAGCATACTGTAAATACTGTTATGTGCCCTTTTTTTTTTACATTTAATTTTGAGATAATTATGTAAGTGGATATAGTGATTTCCTCAGTCCTTGTTATGGTAACGAGATATTTCATTGTGTGTATCATCTTTTATTCAACCAGTGCCCTATTGATGGACATTTTGTTTGTTTCTGTCTTTTGCCATTATAACTAATACTGCAGTGAATAGCTCTGTACCTAATTATTTAGTGTTTTTGACAGTGTATTTTGGGATAGGTTCCTGGACATGAGATTACTAAAGAGTAAATGCATGTGTAATTTTTCTAGATACTGTCAGTTTCCTTTTCCTCACCGTGTACCTTTTTGCATTGCCAATGCTTCTACACCTGAGTGTATTGTGAGACTTGGAATTTAGCCAATCTGATAGTTGAGAAGTGATTTCTCTGTGTAGTTTTAGTTTGCATTTCTCTTAGTTTGAATTGTGAGCCTATTTCCATATGTATAAAGACCTAGGTCATTTTTTATATCTTTTGTGACTGTTCATATAATTTCTCATTTTTCCATCAAATTATTGGATTTTTTCCCCTCAAAATAGATTTAGGAGCTTATTATATCAGAGATAGACTCTCTTGAGTTACTGTCGACCATTTTTAATTTAGGTGATTGATTTAAAGAGTATCCTATTGGTGACAGTGAAGTGCAAAGAGGAATTTAAGTTCCTGAACTGCCATGGGAAGACCTGGGCTTTCAGTTCATGGGTGTTCATTTTGATACACTGTTAGTAGCTATTTTCTTAGTGATACTATTAAATTGTTTTTAAAATTAACAATCGTTTAGGTATTGCCTTTTAATTAGGAGGCATAGAATTCAGGCAGAAAACTTTAAAGAGTCCTGTTTAAATCTGTTTCTAATACTGTTTGGATACTTGTTGAAAAGTAAGATATAAATTTCAGATTTTGAGGGACTATTTAAAAAATAACTTCTGCAGTATCTGGTACACTGTAAATTTTGTTGAGATAGTTATTATTGCTTTATTATTCTTCAGCTCTGGGATATCTGAAAAATTGTCTGCTTTGTACTGTAGACTAAAATGATAAAAGTCTGAGTTAATACCCTGGGAGACTTAAAAAATAATTCATGGCATGTTGATAAATTTATTTTCATACATCGCATTATTCATACATGAGCAGCTTTTTAAAATGATGCAGTCCTAAAACAATAAATGTTTGGGGTTTTTTGCGGAAAATTAGTTATTTTTTTATGTGATTTCCAATTTAAAAATCAGGTATTCTATTTTTCTAGAAGAACCTAACAAGACATGTGACAGCAGTAACACTAGTGCTACCACTACCTCCATTCAGCCTAATCTGGAAAACAGTAACAGCAGCAGTGAACTAAACTCTTCCCAGAGTGAATCTGCTAAGGCAGCTGATGATCCTGAAAATGGAGAAAGAGAGTCTCTTACACCTGTCTCTATTCAAGAAGAGATAGGTAAGAATACACTTCATACATCAAAGCAAGCTTTTGATTTTTTTATTCTTTAATTTTTTTAAATGAAGGTTTGATGGGGGTGGGAAGATTCAGATTTTCTTTTTTTCCTTTCTTTTTTTAAACACAAGTAGCACTTGCATTCATTGTTTTTGTTTTCACAAATGCAAAAATCACAGAGAAAAAATCGATCTTTTTCACACCCTTCTCCACAAAGATAACCCCCATCAACAGTTTGGTTTGTAACATTTTTATCTTTCTCCATGCAGTTTCATTAATGTATGTATGTTTATAAAAGTTTTTTTAAAAAGTTTGAACAGGATCATTTTGCATGTATTATTCTGCATCTTGTTTTTATTCACTCAGTAATAGATGTAGTGGATCTTTTCATGTTATAAATTGAATTCATTCTTTTTTAACTGCTGCATGGTACTCCACAGTATGGATGAACCATATTCATTTGCTATTTCTTCAGTAATGGACATTTAGAGTGTTAACAGTTTTTTTATTATTATATATATAATGATGATTTTTAACATCCTCAACATTATCTTTGTGTACTTATGCAAGTATGTTTGGCAGTATAAAAACAAAGTAGAATTGCTGGGTCAAATGGTTAGGCCCATTTAAAGTAGTGACAGCTACTGCTTCATTGGATATTAAAAGTGATTTACACCAATAATTTACATAACGTATTTATCTGTTCCTACTCTGACCTAAAGTCAGCCTCGTTAATCTCTTACATTTTTGCCAGTGGTAAAGTATAAATTTGTAAATCCCTGCTTACTAATTCATATGTTTGTTCAACTTTCTGTGAATTGCTTCTTCATATAATTTGCTAATTTTTTCCTATTGTGTTTGAATATTTTTCCTTAATGAGTTTTAAGAATGCTTTATAAAGTATCATGGCCATTAATCTTTGATTTTACGTATATAGTTATATTGTCATTGCTTATTTTTTTATTTTATTTTATTTTTTAAAATTAAATTTATTTTTTAAAATTGATTATGCTGTTACAGTTGTTCTATTCCCCCCTTCATTCCCCTCCACCCTGCCCCCCCATCCCCTCATTGCTTATTTTTAACTCTTACTGTTACCATGTATACAGATTTTTACACATTTTTGTAATTAAATTTATCAAGTGTTTTTCTTTAGGGTTTCTCTGGATTTTTGTGTCTTACTAAGGAGGATTAACCCACATCCCAACATTGTACATACACTTTACAGTAATTTTGCATAATACTTCTATAACTTTGTTTTTAAGCCCTCTGGAATATAATTTCATGTATGATTTGAGGAGGAAATCTGTTTTAATAAGCACTGTTTCAATTGCAAGTGACCAGATCAGCTTAAACTAATTTAAGTGAGAAAGGAATGTAATTCCTCATGTAATGGGGAAGTCCAAGCCTCCATCTGGGATAACTGGACCCTTAGGTACCAACAGTCTTCCTGTCTTCCTCTCTTTCACTCTCACCTTTGGATCTTCATATGTTTGTATGTTAACTTAATTCTCTCCTAATACAGACAGACTTTTTCCAAGTGGCAGGGAAGGTGGCATTAGCAGTTTGTATTCTCATCTTTTCAAGGCCTGTGACCCAAAATCAACGCCACTGCTGCCCCAAAACCAAAGTCCTTGAGGAAGGAATATGAGTGGCCTGTCTTGGACATATTGTTCCCACCTCAGTGGCCAGGGCAGGCAAGGTATTAATGATTGATGGCTCCAGGAGAAGTATATGATTGGAATGGTGTAAGAAAGGTTTCAAAAGAAAGAGGGATGCTGTAAAGATAGAAAACAATATATAACCACAATTTCACACTTTGGTAGCTTGGCACAAAGTTGTGTATTCAAATTCAAAAATGCTTCTGCCTAACATAAGGCAAAGATCTTACCCACAAGTGAAACTTTTTTCAAAAACTTTTTTCCCAAAATTATATCTGGTAATTGTAATTGTATCTAGAATTTGTATTTTTGTGTTGTTTGTTATTTTTATGACGTCTGGAAGTGGCATATCTTGATCTTAAAATCAATGAGTCAAATTATGGATTTAACTACTTTTAACACTTCATTATCCTGATAGCAGGAAGCATTCTTTGATAAATCTATCTGCCACTGTTTTTTTGGGAGGATGGCTTTGGTTGAGGAGTGAGAAACATATGGGAAGATACCCTTTTGGAGGCTATTCTGCTTTAGCAGCCTAGTTCTGGCTGGCTGTTGTCAGGGATGGATTGCTGGGGATTGCTGTAGGTTTGAGTAGTCACATTATAGCTTGACAGGTTTGGAATTTTCCCCAGGAATGGCACTGCCTTATAGATTGCCTGGATTCCCCAGCTAGTACCTAATGCCCAGAAATGTAGCTCGGGGTCCCTAAAGGTAAACCTCCTCTCTACTAGCCTTTGGGTGAGTAAAGTCTGTCTAGGCTTCTACCTCCTCATATTAAACAAGGAGCTGCAGAGGCTGGAGTAAAGCAGCTTGGTACTCTACCTCCAGGCAATGTCAGAGTGATCCACACTCCTTTATGGCTTTTGGGCAAGGGGTATTAGATAAGGACCTCTGCTCCCAGTCTGGTTTCCTTCCAAGTCTTATCCCTAGACATTAATTTTCTGTCTCCATTCTCTTATTTGCACTGAATTTAGCAAGTGGCAAAGAATTGACACTCGGGCAATATTGGATTGTGGGCTCTAAACTAAAGTGCTTCTTTTTAAAAGCTCTGTGCCAACCCCTTTCTGCTTTTTAGGAAGTCCAGCCTAGACCAAACAATGTCTAAAAAGTTTTAAAAAATATTTTATTTATTTATTTTTAGAGAGGGGAAGGAAGGGAGAAAGAGAAGCATCAATGTGTGGTTGCCTCTCACACCCCTACCCCCCATTGGGGATCTGGCCAGCAACCCGGGCATGTGCCTTAGAGGGGAATCGAACCAGTGCCCCTTTGGTTTGCAGGCTAGCACTCAATCCACTGTGCCACACCAGCCAGGGCTAAAAAAGTCTTCATTGTAGGACTTTATTGATGATCCTGAGATGGAGCCATCATAGTTCAACATCTTGGCATAAACTTTCAACATGGGTAGGTCTGGGACCCAAGAGAAAATTGTTGATAGTTCGACCAGCTGCTTTGCTACCAAACATTGCAGGTTCCTAGTTTTCTACCCTGGGGTGGCAAAGCGTATCCAGTACCCCTGCCATATCTTGATTTAATGAGTGCCATATTTTGTGATCAGAATCTTAAAATACTCTTATGAATTGTTAAGAATTTATTGATTATAAGTGCCAGAAATTCACCAGACTCACTTAAAACAAAAAAGGAATTTTACTGGCTCATACAGTTGGGAAGTTCAGAAGTAATGACAGCATCAGGTGCATTATTGGACCTAGTAATAAATAAAATAAGGTTATCACTGGTCTTCTCTCATGTTCAGCACCCCCTCCCACCACCATGGGCCTGTGATTGTCTCTTATTATTGGAAGTTTTCTCCATAGTGTGGGGTAAAAGTAGCTGACATTTAATTTATGCCCTTTGTGCTCAATAATACCCTTATCCATCTCCAAATTTTCTAAAGCAAGACCAGTCCTCTATCTCTAGATTTTCAAAATTATAATATGATGCTGAATGGTTTGGGCGATATAACCAGTTCTGGGATAGTCACTGAGGCCAACCAGTGATGTGCTCTGTCTGGCTAAGCTGGGTGATGTTGCTCACCTCAAAGGGGAGGGCACTTATTTGCAGTCCTTGTGAAATCATATGATTGTAGTGGGGGGGGGCATATCACCAACAGAAAGAAGGGGTATTGAATACATAAAATTAGCAACTGTTTACTGAATTGTTTTAACTTATATTTTTCATAATGGATAGCCAGTTTTCCGAATCCAGTTATTTTCTCTACTTAAAATGCCTTCTTTATAATATATAGTAAGTTTCCTATTTGATTTTTCATTTGCCAATGCCACACTGTCTTAATTTTATAAAGCTTTATTTTTTTAAATTTTATTTATTTATTTTTAGAGAGAGGGGAAGAAGGGGAAGAGGAAGAGAGGGAGAGAAACATCAGTGTGTGGTTGCCTCTGGTGTGCCCACTACTGGGGACCTGGCCTGCAACCCAAGCATGTGCCCTGACTGGGAATCGAGCTGGTGACCCTTTGGTTTGCAGGCCAGTACTCAGTCCACTGAATCACACCAGCCAGGGCTTAATTTTATAAAGCTTTAAATTTTTAAGAGAAAAGTGATATCTGTACAATTTTATGACCAATGGAAATTTAGATAGTCATTCAGTCATTTCAGAATGCATAGAAATTTTCAGCCAAAGTGGGGTTTATGGGAAAGTAGAAATTGCTCCATGGCAGTTAAATCTGCCACTTTAAAAATTAAATTACTATGAAAATGTGAGAGGTCTGTATTTTATTTAAAAATTTTAATTTTGATTTTACATGTATAATTATTTGCATATACAGATAATTATCTAGAATCTTTAGGAGAAAATTCACTTGGCATTTATATTTATAAGCTTTCCACCATTACGTATTTAAACAGAATTTCAGTGAAGGTCTTAAAAATATTTTTTTTATTTTTTATACAGAAATTCCCATTTACTATATAGGGCAACATTTTATTCATATGCATTTTGAGTTACTGTTTTTGTTAATTGTAAATTTGTAGCAGCCCTTCCTGTTTTCTAGTAGATGAGCTTTGAAACAGATAATGTGGCATTTTTGAATTTCCTGTAAAAGAATAAATGACTCATAGTTAAGTTCTGAGATAATTTTCTTTTAAGTAAAACCTGTAAGAATTAATACATGTGCTTTGGCTCTTAAAGGACTTTTTCTGTTTATTTCTGGATCTTAAATGTGCACCAGATAAGAGTTTTGGATAAAGTGATATTATATATAATTTACTTACTATTAGCACTCACTTTTGGCTTTTTATTTGATAACAGGTGATTTCAAATCAGAAAAGTCTAATGGGGAAATAAGTGAGTCTCCTGGAGGTGGACGAGGAGCATCTGGTTCAACTCGAATTATCACCAGGTTACGGAATCCAGACAGCAAACTTAGTCAGTTGAAGAGCCAACAGGTGGCAGCTGCAGCCCATGAAGCAAATAAATTATTTAAGGAGGGTAAAGAGGTGTGTTCTTTCTGTTTAAAAAAAAACTTCTGAAGTGTAAAATATGTATTTTTTACCATATTTTAGAAATAGGCCCGGGAAGTTTGTAGACCTTTGAACTATATTTTCTCCACTTCCAAGAGCATATTGGCTAACAAAAGAACCAAAGTGTGTGGTTTATATTATAATTACAAACAGTTGTGTACCTGAATTTCATTTGTGCATAGAAATGCTATAAATGGGTGGTATGCTTTCTTACTTTGTAGTTAGTTTTATTGTATGTAATTCTAAAGAGAGAGGGAGGTTTTTTTCCACATATGGTCATGAGTAGGCTATTTGTGGGCATTATTAAAGAGCTGTAGATGATTTAGTGCTCAGATCCATCTGGAGTCATTTTAGGTGAACCTGTAGTTGCCCCATGAGGGCGGAGTGCAGTGCATAGAACAGCACAGCGTCCCAGCTGTGGTTATGAATAAAAAGATTATAGCTAGAACTCAGTATTTCTCCCCCACCAGCTAGCTATACTGACAGAAAAATGTCCACAACTTTTATCTCCCAGTTGAGAATTATTTGCAGGGTAGATAAGTGAGAACATACATCATTCTTTTCCTAACATTACAGGGATTGCTTTAAAGCAGCGGCTTTCAAACATTTTTACTTTGACCCTTGGTAAGACATTTTTCATAGCAGCCCAGTATACACAGTTTCCTGGAATAGTATTTTACTTTACCATATGGGAAGCATTCTTCTATTTTCTCTCCTATTGTATTATATTTCATTTTTTTAAAAAGTTGAATAAGTCCCACTGTTGATTTCATAGTCCACTAAAGGATCAGGATCAACTCTTTGAAAATACAATTTTAGGCCCTGGCTGGTGTAGCTCAGTGGATTGAGCACGGGCTTCTGTGAACCAAAGGGTCACTGGTTCGTTTCCCAGTCAGGGCACATGCCTGGGTTGCAGGCCAGGTCCCCAGTGGGGTCCATGTGAGAGGCAGCCACAGACTGATGTTTCTCCCCCTTGCTTTCTCCTACCTTTCCCGCTCTCTAAAAAGAAATTAAAAAAAAAAAAGAAAAGAAAATACAATTTTAGATTATCCTCGAGCTTTCATACTAGAGCTAAAATTGATAAAAGGAGCAGAAGAAAAGGTATTTTTAAGGAATATACTTTTGGAGGAATAGTACATGTAATGCCCTATACACATGTAGTTTTGTGTGTCTGTCTGAGGTACATGAAAGTACTTAATGTCTGACATAATAGGCACTTAATAGAGGTTAGTTTTCTTTCTTTTTACAGACATATCTTGGTTATTTAATTATAAACAATTAGCTTTAGTTTTTGAATTTCAAAAGTTCAGTTACAAGATGTATCTTAACTGATTCAGATTGGTAAATTACAAATTATTGAAAGACAGTTGATCAAATTTGCATAATTGATATGAACAATAGAATCTTCTTTTTTTTTCTTGGTCAGGTACTGGTAGTTAACTCTCAAGGAGAAATTTCACGGTTGAGCACCAAAAAGGAAGTAGTCATGAAAGGAAATATCAATAATTATTTTAAGTTGGGTCAAGAAGGGAAGTATCGTGTCTACCACAATCAATACTCCACCAACTCATTTGCTTTGAATAAGCACCAGCACAGAGAAGATCATGATAAGAGAAGGCATCTTGCACATAAATTCTGTCTGACTCCAGCAGGAGAGTTCAAATGGAATGGTTCTGTCCACGGGTCCAAAGTTCTTACAATATCTACTCTGAGACTGACTATTACTCAACTAGAAAATAATATCCCTTCATCTTTTCTTCATCCCAATTGGGCTTCACACAGGTAAAGGAAACTAAGGTTCATTTATTGCTTTGAATATAATAAATTTACAAAATGATCATTGTAGGTAAGTACTTTAAGTGGTCGTTACCAGTGAATTGACTGATGTCAGCGTAGTCAGCAAAACATGGAGTACATTAGGGATGTGAGTGTACTTCTAAGTTATTGAACCAACACTAACATTTGGAAGATTTCTGGAAAGCTGACTCTTTATTCCTGGAATAAAGTGGAGACCAGACAAAGCAATAGAACACTGTGGAAGTTTTAAGAAGTTGGAGAACTAATTAACCTTTGGGATACCTTCTAATGGTCAAAATTTATGGTTCTGTCAGGTAGACGATTCTAGGAGCAGTATATTTATACCTGCTTAGCTTAGAAACATATTCCCTGTAAGATGGAGGCATAGTAAATTACAACTCTTGTGCTTGTAAATTAGGATCAGTGAAGTGAAATAGTTTTTTTTCCTTCTGAAATATAGGGCTAATTGGATCAAGGCAGTTCAGATGTGTAGCAAACCCAGAGAATTTGCACTGGCTTTAGCTATTTTGGAGTGCGCAGTTAAACCAGTTGTGATGCTACCGATATGGCGGGAGTCTTTAGGACATACCAGGTAAGTGAATTTTGAGCCTTGCAAATGATGTATTAGACTCCTTTTTGGAAGTTTAGTCTATTGAGAATGAAAGTTAATGCATTTTTAAAAGGCCATATCAAGACTTAATTTTTCTTGGCCTCATTTCCTCCTGTATAAGATGTAAATATGACTGAATAGTAGTTCCAATTTATGATATTGGATTGTAGGGAAGATCAAAGTTGATTAAGTATATTAAAACTAATAGTTTCTTCATTAAAAAGCATTTTATTAAATAGAGCACTCATCTTTTTAAAAAATATTTCTTCTAGAATGTTTCAGGTATCAGGTACTGTGCTAGGCATCTGATCTTTTTAGAGTTGAGTGCCTAGCCAAAAATTATGTAGTTTCTGTGTAGAGCAAGAACCGTGTAACTGCAACAGATGGTTTCAAAAATAGATAAATTTTGTGCCCTGAATCTACTTTTTAGATCTAGGGATTTGGTTTTTGAAACTTTAATTAATCTTTAAGAAGTCAATACTACAAAACTAATGCAAACTTACAATAAAAATGTAAATCATCATTCAATGTGAAAAGTAAGAATCATTCTACTTACAGGGCCCACATCAAAGGTATAGCTGCCATTTTAAAATTATGAATATAGCTTTGTGTTGCTTTCAACATCTGTGTTCTATTTTATAATGAAAAGTTTTTTAAAGAAAAGTTAATTTATATCTACTAATATTTTTCATCTGCTAAGGAATGCTCTCAGTTTTCTGTGGTGTTTCCCCATATCAATCTTTTTTTTTTTAATTTTTTTTATTGATTATGCTGTTACAGTTGTTCTATTCCCCCTTTATTCCCCTCCATCCTACCCCCCATCCCCACCATCACCCCCCCTTTAGTTTATGACCATGTGTCTCAAGTCCTTTAGATTCTATATTTCCCATGCTATTCTTGCCCCCCCATCTATTTTCTATCTACTGTCTATGCTACTTATTTTCTGTACCTTCTCCCCCCTTCTCCTCCTCCCACTCCCCTGTTGCTAACCCTCCTTGAGATCTTCATTTCTATGTTTCCACTCCTGATCTAGCTGTCCTTTTAGTTTGCTTTCGTTTTAGGTGTGGTTGTTAATAACTGAGTTTGTTGTCCTTTCACTGTTCATGTTTCTTTAACTTCTTTTTCTTAGATAAGTCCCTTTAACATTTCATATAATAAGGGCTTGGTGATGATGAACTCCTTGAATTTGATCTTATCTGAGAAGCACCTTATCCGTCCTTCCATTTTAAATGAAAGTTTTGCTGGATAGAGCAATCTTGGTTGTAGGTCTTTAGATTTCATGACTTGGAATACCTCTTTCCAGCCCCTTCTTGCCTGTAAGGTCTCTTTTGAGAAATCCGCTGACAGTCTGATGGGGACTCCTTTGTAGGTGACTGTCCCCTTAGCTCTTGCTGCTTCTAGGATTCTCTCCTTCATTTTAATTTTGGCTAATGTAATTACGATGTGCCTTGGTGTGTTCCTTCTTGGGTCCAACTTCTTTGGTACTCTCTGAGCTTCCTGGATTTCCTGGAAGTCTATTTCCTTTGCCAGATTGGGGAAATTCTCCTTAATTATTTGTTCAAATAAGTTTTCCACTGGTGGCTGTGCCTTTCCCCCTTCTGGTACCCCTATAATTCGGATGTTGGAGCATTTAAAGATGTCCTGGAGGTTCCTAAGACTCTCCTCATTTCTTTGAATTCTTGCTTCTTCACTCTTTTCTGTTTGGCCATTATTTGCTTTCTTCTGGTCCACTCCATTGATTTGAGTCCCAGTTTCCTTTTCATTGCTATTGGTGTCCTGTGCAATTCCATTCATTTCAATTAGTTTCGCCTTCATATATTTGTCTAATTTGTCCGTATAATCAACCAGTTCTGTGAGGATCCTGATCACCAATTTTTTAAACTGTGCGTCTGTGAGTTTTGCTATTTCTTCATCGCTTAGATTTATTTCTGGGGCTCTGAGATCCTCCTGCGCCATTCTTGGTCTGTTCGGGCCCTTTAAGTGTGAGAAGCCGCGGCTTGGCTTCCCAGGTCGCTGGGTTGTGACGCTGTATGTGGGGGCGTGGCCAGAGCGGGGAAATGGCGACCCCCTCTGCCGCTTCTCACAGCTGGGTGCGGAGGAGCAGTGCCTTAGGTGGTTCACCTGGGCCGGGCCACTCAGAGTCGCTGGGTTATGACGCTGTATGTGGAGGTGGGGTCAGAGCAGGGAAATGGCGGCGCCCTCCACTGCCGCTTGCCGTGGGGACCTGCCGGCCCGGTCCAACCGCCCACTCCCTCGCCTGTCCACCCTCGCACAAATGCGCGACCTCAGTCAACACGCAGCCCCGGCCCGGCTGTCTCCCCCGAGGTCGCTCGCCTGGTTGCTCGCTGGGTCGCTCACTAGGTCTGACCCTGCGCCTGGATTCCGCCGGCCTGAGTGTGTCTGGCCGAGTCCTCCTGTGCAACCCTGCTCCGCCAGCCGCTGGTTTCGCCCCTTACCGGTCAGGCTGAAGAATTTGTTGTTAACGGACTTCCGAAGAGTTCAATTTTCCGTGTTCTGGCTGTGTTTTCTGTTGCTAATATTTAGTTTTCTCTAATCTTGGTTGTGGGAGAAGGCACGGCACATCCACCTATGCCTCCATCTTGGCGGAAGTCCCCCCCATATCAATCTTAAGGATACTTTTTTTCCTTCCTCCTATTTTGAATGTAATTGCTGCTATCAGTATAGGTATCCACAAATGGAATGGACTTAATTCTGCCTAGGATAACAAAATTGAGGTTAACCTAAGGTGCTACAGACTGCACTCCTGGAGAGGAGACCTAAATGGGTGGCATACCTTTATTCTACTCCTATGGGTTTCATTTATCAGGGTAAAGGAGAGAGTCAGAAACAATAGTGAGGTAATACTCTATTTCTCAGGGTGGTGGGGGATAAGGGGACTAAATGGTAATAGGAAAAAATACAATAAAAAACCAATACAATATTTTTCATTTGACTTTTCAAAAAAAATACTCTGTATTTTTGTTCCTTCTTGCATTTAACCCCAGAATGCACCAAACTGTTCTGTCCCAACATCTTCCTATTAGTGGTCATCCTGAAACTTACAGACCAGGCAGCCACATCTCTGATGACAGAGATAAACATTTTGAGAAGTGAAGCTAATCTTAATGTTGCTAAATAAAATTCTTGATATTCAAACGTAACTTCAGATGACTAAATTCATACTTTTTTATAAGTTTGTTTCTGAATACTAAACATTGTAATGAAGATGGAATTAAAAAAAAATCAATCTAGCCCTGGCTGGTATTTCTCGTTTGGAGCATTGTCCCATATACCAAAAGGTTTCGGGTTAGATTCCTGGTTGGGGCACATACCTAGGTTGTAGGTTCTATCTTCTGTTGGGTTGGGTATAGAAGGCAACTAATCGATGTTTCTCACATCTTCCTCCCTCCCTCCCTTCCACTCTCTCTAACAGCAATGAAAAAATGTTCTCAGGTGAGGATAAAAAAATACTTTTTTCAAATCAATGTATTTTTTCCTTATTGTCTGTCATTTTGACTAATCTTCCAAATAGGTTACTTAGAGTTACAAAATTATATCATGAATTGTATTAATGTGACATATGTGGTAAAATACAAACTTTAAAAAATATGATGAGGTGTAATAAAATAGGTAACAATTTAAAAAATTATAGACCATGATTCAAGAAAATTAGAAGTTAATTGGACTTTCGTTTTTGGCAAAATTATGGTCAAATACCTCTAGGTGACAAACTTCTAAGAAAACATCTAGAAAAAAACTGCTAAGAAAATACCTAGATCTTCAACCAAATATTTTATTTATAAAATGTTTATTTGTTGTGGTATTCAATAATAAAACTTTAAGAGCAATCTAAATATCTTAGAGTTTCAGAATATATTTAAAATAATGGGAAATTAGAATCTTTTTGAGAAAATTATAGTTTTTTCTTTGAATTTATCATTTTCACCTGAGGACATGCTTACTGATTTTAGAGAGAGGGAAAGGGAGGGAGAGAGAGGGGGAGAGAAATATCAATCTGCTGCCTCTTATAAGCACCTAACTGGGATTGAAGTTGCAACCTAGGCACGTGGCCTGACCAGGAATCAAACCAGTGATCTTTTTCATCCAAACAACTGAGCCACACCAGCCAGGGCAAGAAAATTCTAGTCTTTATTGAAAGACATTAAAGAATTCCTTAAAAAATGGAAATATATTTTATGTTTACATATAGGAAAAGTCAGTGTCTTGACAGTGTCAGTTTTCCTCGTGTTAACATATAAATTAATTTTGGTAACATTGATAATTATAGTTGAGCTTTCTGGAGAATTTACAAGATAATTAGAAATTTTATATGGAAAGGGGCAATAATAGAAAAGATAAGATTAAGTAGGACTTGACCTGCCAGGTAACAGAACTTATTTGAAGCTATAATAATAGTGTGTTATAGATGCAAAGATAAACAAATAGACCAGTGATACAGAATGAACAGTCCAGAAGGTGACCAACTCACATATGATCTGAAGCTGTCCACTGGATGTGCAGGCTCTGGTTTTCCTGGGTGGTGCATGCCATGGTCAGCCCCTTCCTGTGTTCTACCTGGGGTCACCCTGCATGAGCTATAAAACAATCTGCAGATGGCTGCTAGGGGAGCCATGCTGTGAACTGAGGCTGGCTGCTGCTAGTGCTGTGCCTGGAGCCACTTAGCAAGGGGTACAAGGACTGTGGGCTCACTGAGGCCGTCTGTTGCTTGTTTGAAAGGATTAAGGAAGTTGTGACATAGCCAAGACCAGCCATTCATTTGGAAAAGCCACCGTTAACAGCTTGGGTGGGCCTGTAAGTTGAATGGAACAGAGCCTCAGGACATCTCCACAGTGGGCAAACAGTGTTAGCCAGGTTGTTGGTCTCAGATATGGCATTGGCCTGCTTGCTGTCTGTGGCTCTGTGGAGGAAGGGTTCAGAAAAGGGACAGTGGCCTCTGTGCACCTTTCTGTCTGGAAGAAATC